AGACTCGGTCATTAAGTTCCTGATCAATTAGATTACCGATTACTTGTTTGTAGACTTTTATTCGTTCAGTAAAAAACGTATACTTACAACCTACTATGTTATTGATTGTGACGCGCGTTCAAATCCACAATTATGTTCAATTTAATAGATGGAATATTATACCTAAATGACTTAGCTCCACGTAGGCTTAACCGGTAACAAGTGAACATTGAACCGTGACACGGTCGTTGCGACACCTTTCGAGAAATGAAGGCACAAAAACTTAGTTTCATAATGTGTTGGTGTTTGCAAGTCGTCATTTGTTTCTCTTCGAAGACTCTAAACGCGTTTTGACTGCTGGAAATGGGGGGTTATTATAATCTGTCAAGTTATATGCAATTTTGAGTGAGGTTTTGCGTGTAAACCTTATCATGAAGAGAGAAACAATGATTTTATGAACGACGATAGTGGTGCGTACATTCCCATCGTGCATTGCAATCTGCTGTAAACATCTGGTATAAATGGCTGACGGCCAATGAAGAAATGGTGGAAGAAGGTCCAGCCGGAAACACGCAAATTTCGAACGGTCCTAACTCCCAGGCCGGTCCGTCCATTACTGGGTTTGGTGTCAAGGGTGTAGACGATCAAGTGCCTCGAACTCTGCCGTATTCTATTCCGGGAATCTTGCACTTCATCCAACATGAATGGGCACGGTTCGAGATGGAAAGGTCACAGTGGGAAGTGGAAAAGGCCGAACTTCAGGTGAACTTCTAGAACACCAGTTAATTGTTTGTATTAGTTACAGGGAATAGCTTTACGTTGTAACCAGTTGGCATATATCTAGTTATCAGTTAAGAAATTTTATGGTGTAAACGACGTCAATGATAGTAATACACATGGCAGGTCATACACTGAGTGTATAATAAATATTAATAATATTATTTAATCATATTTATAGGCCTACTGTACTGTAGTGAGTAAAATTATGAATAATAAAAAACAATATTAAACCCATATTTAAGGGTTCCCTAAATCAACCTAGAAAAGCGGTCTTAAGCGTTGTATGGCAGTCTTAAACACAGGGCCTCACATGATACTTCTTGGAAAACTCTGAAAAAGTTGTACGATGTAGCGATGGCATCGCTTAAATAATACCACAAATAAATCGAGCTTCAGTCTAAATATAATAAATCTCTTAGTCATAGCTAACTAAGAACCAAAAAGTGGTGGCTACTATTGGATTTACGTTAAATCTTCTGAGCTGAGTTTAAAGAATCGATTGATAGTGATAAGCTGTATGCTTACATTGCATTAGTGATTGCATTTCGCCGCAAATGTGGGTAAAATCTGCAATCATCTCGACTGAGAGGGCCATTGCACATTCAAGCCTTTTCATTTTCCAGCAAGTTTTTTGCATTTTGAATTTTTTGCTTTCCAATCAATAAGGCTCATAGGGTCTATGTCCCCCAGGGTACTGCCGGAACGTACCCTGGTAACTATCTGATAGGGTTAGGGTTAGGGAGTAGGTGTAGGCGACTCCCTAGACTTGTTAGTGGAGTAGGCGAGGTACGGTCCGGCATATTAGATAGTACCACTACCAGGGTACGTTCCGGTATACCGGACCGTACCCATGGTACGTTCTGGCAGTACCCTGTGGTACATAGACCCTCTGAGCATCAATAAGGTCTGTGCTACCATTTGTGGACATTTGTCAAATTGCTTAAAACTTATATATATGCACAAGCATCATGATAATTTGTTATCATTATTGCTTACATATAAGTGTCGCGGTTCTGCCAATTACATGCTGTTCAATTACATTTGTTATGTAGCCTTAGCCAAGCCTCAAATGGAATTAAATTCAGGTAAACAGTGTTTTCAATATGTTTGTTACAAGTTACAATATAACTCTTATTTAAACTTAGGGCTCAATACATTTCTATAAAGACTATTTTAGCACGTGCCCCGCGGATCCACGAGTCAGTTCGTGGGAACAATCAAAACGCATCTCCGCGGATCCACAAATCAGCTCGTGGATAGATTATTGGTTTTTGTTACCTTGATTTCCAACAGCTGGCAGGCACTACCTACCTATAAATTAAATAGGGACAGTCTATATTACCCCAGTCTTACATGAACTAATGAATACAATGCTCTACCGTTGATTCGAACGTGAAATTATGAGTTTTGAGACTCAAGGTAAATTTGTAAAACTAGAAGGTAAACTAGAAGGCGTAGATTGAAACAAGGTTTGTTTTTCCTAACGGTATATAATATAGTAACTGTGTAGTATATAAAATTTCAATGCATTTTTGCATGTAGAAAGACAAAACAAGGTTCATACCCCACACATGTGTAAGCGTTGTCACATTTCTTATTGACACCATCAACGTACAGAAATTTGAACGGGCGCCATGATACCGCGACCGTGCTCCACCCCGAAAAAGTTGGGCATTTCGAATTTATTTGCACGTCACAGACCGAAGGGCTAAATCACAAAGGTGCAATTATATTTATACCTAAATGCTATTTAACCGAACAATATCTTTTAGGCAAATTTATCCATATTATAACTGAAACTATATGTCGTTTATAAGATAAATTACAATCCTTTTGCTTTAAGAAATGATAATAAGAAACACCCCTTGTCTGTAGCCCTTGGCTGAAAACGTGGTTTTGCGCAACTTACCAGATGCGTGCGCTTTGAGTGGCCGAACCGTCGTGTAATCAACTGTAGTCGTTCGTTTTAAAACATTTTTTAAAATATTCTAATTTAATTGAACCATGGAAACTTTTTATGTAGCGATATTTAACATAAATTTACTGAAAATAACCCTAGAACCTAGAGTAAACAATCCTTCACAACGCACCTTCCGCCCTGCGGAATTTTCGGGATTTTCGGGTTTTTACAGGTTTTTCGGATTTAGCGGGGGATTTTCGGGTTTTTACAACTTATTCACTTTTTGATTTACCACATTTCCTTTGCAGGAAAGCTAACCAAACTGACACATTACTCGGCAGTGAGTGTTATCTCACCCCTTAACACGTTCAAAAGTAAGGAAATCGTTCCCCGTCATAATAATATATTGATATGAAAACACGAAAAAACTGACATTTCGTGGCATTTTCGTCTCAAATGCCAACCGCCACCGTTGCTTTTCGAAAGTTTTTGTTATGATATCATTCAACGTATACTTATTTTTTCCGGTAAGGCCAAAACAAAATATAGGTGTGTGTTACCCTTTCATGCCGAATAAAAATAGGTAGTAGGTAGCGAAAACATTTTATTTTATTGAACATGTTTTTGACGAACCATGCCCGAAGGATGTGCGTTGTGGCCTTTTGAAGGCAGGAACTGTCCAATTCATTTTTTATATATTTTTTTTATCTTTTTTTTTTCACTTTAAACGAAAATTGACAATAAAATGTTTAGGGTCGCTGGGAAAATATGGGTCGGTCGGAAAACGGTAACCACACCTATATTTTGTTTTGCC